GGAGTGTAGTGGTGTGATCAGATTGCTGCAGCCCCAGCCTCCTGCACTCAAGTGACACCCCTACCTATGTCTTTCTTTTGAGTAGCTGGGACCACAGGTGCACAGCAGAGCACCTGGTAATTGTTGGTATTTTTGGTAGGGATGGAGTTTTGTCATGTTGCCCAACCTGGTCTTGAACTCCTGACCTCAAGTGATATCCCCAAGTCAGCCTCCCAGAGTGCTGGGTTGCAGGCATGAACCACTGCGCCCCTCCTTATTTTGGGATTAGGTTTTGCTCTGTTACTTGGCTGGAGTACGGTGGCATGATTACAGCTTGCTGCAGCCTCCACCTCCTTGACTTAAGCAACCTCTTACCTCAGCCTCTTGAATAGCTGGGACTACAGGTGCACACCATCACGCCAGGCTAAGTTTTTGTATTTTTGTTAGAAATGGGGTTTGACCATGTTGCCCAGTCTGGTGTCAAAATGCTGAAACCAAGTGATCTGCCCACCTCTGCCTCCCAAATTGCTGGATTACAGGCATGAGCCACTCTGTCCAGCCCTTTTTCTTCCTCTTTTATTTGTGTGTGTGTGTGTGTGTGTGTGTGTGTGCATGTGTGTGTTTAAGTTAGGTTTTGCTTCGGCATCCAAGCTAAAGTGCAGTGGTCTGATCACGGCTTGCTGCAGCCTCAACCTGATGGGCTCAGCCACCCTCACACCTCAGCCTCTTGAATAGCTGGAGCTACAGGTGCACACCACCAGGTCTGGCTAATTTTTTGTATTTTTGGTAGAGATGGGCTTTTGCCATGTTTCCCAGTCTGGTCACCTCCTGGGCTTGAGTGATCCTCCCACCGCAGTTTCTTGAGTATCTTGAACCACAATTGTGCACCACCACACGTGGCTAAGTTTTTGTATTTTTGGTAGAGATGGTGTTTTGCCATATCACCCAGTTAGGTCTCGAACTCCTGAACTCAAGTCATCTGCTGCTCACCTTGGCCTCCCAAATTGCTGGGTAATAGGCCTGAGCAACTGTGCTCAGCATTTTATCTTCTTTCATATATACATATGTGTGTGTGTGTGTGTGTGTGTGCGTGCACGTGTGTGTGTGTGCAGAGAGAGAAAGCTATCTTGCTCTGTTACCCAGGCTGGACTGCAGTGGTGTGGTCACGGCTTGCTACAGCCTCAACATCCTGAGCTCAAACGATCCTCCCACCAGTCTCTTCAGTAGCTAAAACCACAGGCACACACCACCATGCCTGGCTATTTTTGTGTATTTTTGGTAGAGATGAGGTTTGGCCATGTTGCCCAGTGTTGTCTCCCACTGCAGAACTTAAGTGATTTGCCCACCTCAGCCTCACAAAAGTGTGGGTTACAGGCATGAGCCACTTACTGAGCTGAACACCTAAGATTAGTCTTTTTTCTTTTATGTGAGTTGTTTCTCAATAGAAATTTAAACATAGGCCAGGCTCAGTGGTTCATGCCTGTAATACCAGCTACCTGGGAGGCTGAGGCAGGAGAATCATTTGAACTCAGGAGGCAGAGGTTGTGGTGAGCTGAAATTGTGTCACTGCACTCCAGCCTGGGCAACAGAGTGAGACTCTGTCTCAAAAAAAAAAAAAAATTAGCTGGGTGTGGTGGCGCATGTCTGTAGTCTCAGCTACTTGGAAGCTGAGACAGGAGGATGAATTGAACCCAGGAGTTTAAGGCCATCGTGAACCGTGATTGCACCACTGCACAGCCCGGGCCACAGAGGAAGACACTGTCTCTAAAAAAAAAAAAAAAAAAGAAAAAAAAAGAAAGTTAGGCTGGGCTCAGTGGCTCACGCCTGTAATCTCAGCACTTTGGAAGACTTAGGTGGGTGGATCATGAGGTCAAGAGATTGAGACCGGCCGGGCGCGGTGGCTCACGCCTATAATCCCAGCATTTTGGGAGGTCGAAGAGGGTGGATCATGAGGTCAAGAGATAGAGACCATCCTGGTCAACAAGGTGAAACCCCGTCTCTACTAAGAATACAAAAATTAGCTGGGCATGATGGTGCGCGCCTGTAGTCCCAGATACTCAGGAGGCTGAGGCAGGAGAATTGCTTGAACCCAGAAGGTGGAGGTTGCAGTGAGCCGAGATAGTGCCATTGCACTCCAGCCTGAGTAACAACAGCGAAACTCCGTCTCAAAAAAAAAAAAAAAAAGAGATTGAGACCATCCTGGCTGACATGGTAAAACCCTGTCTCTACTAAAGATACAAAATTAGCCAGGTGTGGTGGTGCGCGCCTGTAGTCCCAGCTACTCGGGAGGCTGAGGTAGGAGAATTGCTTGAATTTGGGAGATGGAGTTTGCAGTGAGCAGAGATTGCGCCACTGCACTCCAGCCTGGCGCCTGGCAACAGAGCGAGACTCCATCTCAAAAAAAAAAAAAAAAGGTTGATTTCCAGTTAATTTTATGTGGAATGCCAGAACTGATGGCAGTGAAAAAGTCTCATGATAGCCTTCCAAGGGAGCTAGAGAGGTGGCAGGGAGATGGCCCTGAAGAAACCCCTCCCAGGCCCCCATCCTCTGTGTTCCTGGGGACCCTGAAGAGACTCTGGTGACCACGATGCTGACGAGGCTTGCCCCCTGGGCCTTGGTTGCCTAACTCATCCACTGGGCATGCGTTTGAATGGAAGCTGAGGCTTTGTCCAGCCTCTCTGTCACAGACAGGATACAAGCGACAGTGGAATAAGCAGGTACATTTATTTATTTATTTAGAGATGGAGTCTCGCTCTTGTTGCCCAGGCCGGAGTGCAATGGCACGGTCTTGACTCACAGCAACCTCTGCCTTCCAGGTTCAAGGAATTCTCCTGCCTCAGCCTCCTGAGTAGCTGAAATCACAGGCATGCACTACCATGCCTGGCTAATTTTGTATTTTTAATAGAGACCGGCTTTCTCCATGTTGGTCAGGCTGGTCTTGAACTCCCGAACTCAGGCGATCCACCCTCCTCAGTCTCCCAAAGTGCTGGGATTACAGGCGTGAGCCACCGCACCTGGCTTATTTATTTGTTTTATTATTATTATTACTTTTTGGACAGACAGGGTCCCCCTATGTTGCACAGGCCGATCTCAAACTCCTTGGTTCAAGCGATCCTCTTGCCTCAGCCTCCCAAAGTGCTGGGATTGCAGGTGTGAGCACTGCACCCGGCTTTGAGCAGGTGCATTTACTAAGCAGCTAGGATGCCCTGAGCATCAGACAAGTTGGGGTTCTCTAGACCCCAGCTCAGCCCAGTAGGAATCCCCTAGGGCAGAGGCTAAGTCTGAGACTCTGAGAGCTGGAGGCTTAGCTGGGGTCCCACAGTAGTGGGTGTATGTCGAGTTAGGGTGAGACTGGGAGACCCTGTTACTCCCATAGGGGACTTGCTGGGCGACCCCCCAGTGAGTTCTTCTTTTTTGAGACAGGGTCTTGCTCTGTCACCCAGGCTGGAGTGCAGTGGTGCAATCTTGGCTCACTGCAACCTCTGCCTCCTGGGTTTAGAGATTCTCCTGCCTCAACCTCCTAAGTAGCTGGGACTACAGGTGCACACCACCACACCCAGCTAATTTTCGTGTTTTTAGTAGGGACAGGGTTTCACCATATTGGCAAAGCTGGTCTTGAACTCTTGACCTCAGAGTGATCCACCTGCCTCAGCTTCCAGAAGTGCTAGGATTACAGGCAGGAGCTACTGTGCCCAGCCCCAGTGAGTTCCTGTGCCTCTTACCTGCCTATGCCTGTCACATGCAGACTCCCTGTAGCCCCCACTACCTGCCTGGCACAACAGCCCTTCCTCTCCATGGCCAGGAATCCTGGGCATTAGAAGAAAGTCTGGGTGCCCCAGGGGGAAGGGTGCTCCTGGGGAGCCGCCTGCCCTTTTACCATCTGGTGGCTGGACCTGACACTGACCTGCCCAGCTCTAAACCCCCAGCTCCCTAACTCTCTGCCACCTCCTCTCTAGGCCTAAATGAAAGTAGATTCACCCCTGCCCCAAGGGAGCTCTGAGTCTGGTGTAGAAAGAGCTGGGCACAGACACTTCTAGTGGGGTCAGCTCTGGGCCAGAGGGAAGGATAGGGTTATGAGTACCCTGCTTAGCCTGGAAAAGGAATGTCAGAGATGACTTCTTGCATGTGGGGCTTTTTGAATGGGGTTTTGAAGAATGAGTAGGAGTTTCCCAGATGAGGATTAATGACTGCAGTAACACCCAGTTTAACCAGCACCAACTATGTGCCTGGCTGTATGTTAAACCCCTCATTTGACTACCTCTCCAGTGAAAGCCTCAGTCCCTGTTTTCCAGGAAACTGAGGCATGGCGGAGAGGAATGACATGTCAAAGTTGCCCTTCCTAGCTCTCTCTAGCACTTTCTCCTCTGCTTTCTTTGTTTTTCACCGTCTTTAGCCTTTGACCCCAACCAGAGAGGAGGGAGAGGGAATTCTACAGAGGAAGATAGCTGCTGCTTAAGCTCCTGTCTGGAAAATTTGTCACATGGGAATAAATCTTTCTCCATAAAGACTACCAGGTTGGCCGGGTGTGGTGGCTCATGCCTATAATCCTAGCACTTTGGAGGCAGAGGCAAAAGGATACCTTGAGCCAAGGAGTTTGAGACCAGCCTGGGCAACACAGTGAAACTCTGTCTCTACAAAAAGCTAAAAATATATATATTGGAAAATAAAATAGCAGAGCATGGTGGCATGTGCCTGTAGTCCCAACTACCCAGGAGGCTGAGGTGGGAGGATCACTTGAGCCCAGGAGGTCAAGGCTGCAGTGAGCTGTGATTGTGCCCCTGCACTCCAGCCTGGGCAACTCAGTGAGACTCTGTCTCAACAACAACAAAAAAGGACTCTCAGGCTGGAATGGTGTCCTTATTTCATGGGAAAGGATACAGAGAGTCCAGAGAGGCGCCCCAGCATCTGCAGGAATGCATCCCCGAGACCCGGCCTGGCCGTGGCCACTGGAATGTACACTCTGCATGCAGGGTCTGGCATTGGGGGCAGGGGCACAGCTGGGTGGGAACATTGAGGCTGTAATGCCAGACCCCAGGTATCCCTGCGGCTCAGACAGCAACCAGCACAGCCATGCCAGCTCCAGGAACCGTGACGCGGCGTTGCTCTCAGATGCTGCTGACGTTACTGATGTGGTTGGGGGCACACTGGGGAGCGCCCTGCCTCTGCCCGGTGAGAACCTTCCAGGGATCCTAGGACCCTTGGACAAGCACTCCAGTCCATATGACTCCAGGTTTCAGGAGTTGCAGAAAAGCCACCAGGACCTCCAGAGCACAAGTAAGACAAGGAGGACTCAGACCCCGACCTCACCCAAAAGCTCAGGTGAGCTCTCAGAGACCTCCATCCCCAGGACAGCTCCCACGTCTGTTTTCTTTCTTTTTAAAGATGGTCACCAGGCGCAGTGGCTCATACCTGTAATCCCAGCACTTTGGAAGGCCGAGGCAGGTGGATCACCTGAGGTCAGGAGTTCAAGACCATCCTGACCAACATGGCAAAACCCCATCTCCACTCAAAGTACAAAAATTAGCCAGGCATGGTGGCGAATGCCTATAATCCCAACTACTCAGGAGGCTGAGGCGGGAGAATCGTTTGGATCTGGGAGATGGAGGTTGCAGTGAACTGAGATGGTGCCGCTACACTCCAGTCTGGGCAACAAGAGTGAGACTCCGTCTCAAAAAAAAAAAAAGTTCTTATGTTGGGGCTGGGTGCAGTGGCTCACGCCTGTAATCCCAGTACTTTGGGAGGCCGAGGCAGGCAGATCACTTGAGGTCAGGAGTTCAAGACCAGTCTGGCCAACATGACAGAGTGAGATCCGGTCTCTATAACGAATACAAAAATTAGCCAGGCATGGTGGCGCGCGCCTGTAATCCAAGCTACTAAGGAGGCTGAAGCAGAAGAATTGCTTGAACCCGGGAGGCAAAGATTGCAATGAGCTGACATCGCACCACTGCACTCCAGCCTGGGCAACAGAGCAAGACTCCATCTAAATAAATACAGTTATTTAAAAGAAAAATCCCCTAGGACAGGGCTGAGGCTGAGACCCTGAGGGCTGGAGGCTTGACTGGGCTTGCATGGCAGTGGGTGTGGGCTGGGGTGGGAAGAGGCCTGGAGACCCTGTGACTCCAGTGAGGACCTTGCTGTGTGACCCCCAGTGAGTCCTTGAGTCTCTTGCCCACCCATGCCTGTCAAACGCAGACACCCACACACACCCACTATCTGCTGGACACAGCAGTCCTTCCTCTCCACAGTCAGGAAGCTGGATGCAGGCACAGACACTGGCACCTGGGGCCAGGAATCCTGAGCATTAGAAGAAGGTCTGGGTGCCCCCAGGGGGAAGGGTGCTCCGGGGGCACCCCCTACCCCTCTACCATCTGGTGGCTGGACCTCACACCAGCCCATCCTGCTCTAACCCCTGAGCTCCAGCCAGGTGCGGTAGCTCACACCTTTAATTCCAGCACTTTGAGAGGCCATGGCAGGAGGATCACGAGGTCAGGAGATCAAGACCAGTCTAGCCAACATGGCAAAACCCCATCTCTACTAAAACGTACAAAAATTAGCTAGGCGTGGTGGTGCACACCTATAATCCCAGCTACTCAGGAGGCTGAGGCAGGAGAATTGCTTGAACCTGGGAGGCAGAGGTTGCAGTGAGCTGAAATGGCGCCACTGTACTCCAGCCTGGGAGACTCCATCTGAAAAACAAAAACAACCCAGCTCCTTAATTCTGTGCCACCTCCTCTATGGGCCCACACAAGGGCAGATTCCCCAGCTCTGTACCTTCCACAGAGGCTCCAGGGGTGCAGGGCATTGGATGATGTCTGGGCTGTGCTGGGACCCAGGAGGGGGTCAAGTAGAGGGGTGTCCTCTTAGCCCGCCCTATACCCACCTGAGCTGTGTGACTCCAGGCAAACCTCTCACCCTTGCTAGGCTGGAGTGCAGTGGCATGATCTCAACTCATTGCAACCTCTGCCTCCCGAGTTCAGGTGATTCTCCTGCCTCAGACTCCCAAGCAGCTGGGATTACAGGTGTGTGCCACCATGTCTGGTTAATTTTTTGGATTTTTAATAGATATGGGGTGTTACCATGTTGGCCAGGCTGGTCTCAAACCCCTGATCTCAAGTTATCCGCTGGCCTCCGCCTCCCAAGGTGCTGGGATTACAGGCATGAGCCACTGTGCCTGCCCTGGGCTGAGTCCAGGATCCAGGAAAAAGAATGGGGGAGTGGTGCGTGGAGAGAGGTTTGTGATGGGCAGAACCAGCTGGCACTCGTTCTGAATCTGATGCAATTGCTTGTCAAGGCACTGCTAATGTCACATGCAACAAGTGCCTTGTTAACAGGGGAGAAGACTATTTTCCCCTGCTCTGTACCTTCCACAGAGGCTCCAGGGATGCAGGGCACCGGATGATGTCTGGGCTGTGCTGGGACCCAGGAGGGGGTCAAGTAGAAGGGTGCCCTCTTAGCCAGCCCTAAACCCACCTGAGCTGTGTGACTGCAGGCAAACCTCTCACCCTTGCTAGGCCTAGCAACTAGCTTAGGGCACCCTTAAACCCCAGTGTCCCCAGTCTCCCTGACACCTGTACCAGCCTGAGGGGCTGTGATTCTTAGAGGCCTGGTAGTCTGGAATGGGATGGGCTTGGTAATCTTCATTTCTCGGGATTATGCCTGTAACCCCAGCGCTTTGGGAGGCCGAGGTGAGAGCATCGCTTGAGGCCAGACATTGAGACCAGGCTGGGCAATATAGAGAGACCCCATCTCTAACAGAAAAGCTTAAAAAATTAGTCAGATGTGATAGTGCATATCTGTAGTCTCAGTTATTCAGGAAGCTGAGGTGGGAGGATCACTTGAACCCAGGAGACCGAGGCTGCCCTGAGCCATGAGCACACCACTGCACTCCAGCCTGGGCAACAGCAAGGCCATAATTAATAAATAAATAAGTGACGTAAGTGAGTTTTTGACTGCCAGAAAAAAAGCAGTCCACGGCCGGAATCTCAGACTTCTAAATATCAGATATACATTAATTCCTTCAAGTATTTACTAAGCATCTATTGTGTGCCAGACGGTGACAACCAAGCTGAGTCTAAGTAGGGAATATGAACGATTCACAACGAAATAAAATAGGTGCTTCCAATTTTAGGCAGGCTGGAAGGGAGAGGAGGAGCCAGCTGTGCTGAGATTCAGGAGGAGAAATGCTTCTTTTTTCGAGAGGGAGTCTTCTGTTGCCCAGATTAGAGTGCAGTGGTGCGATCTCAGCTCACTGCAACCTGCTCCGCCCGCGTTCATGCGATTCTCCTGCCTCAACCTCCCCAGTGGCTATCATAGGCGCCAGCCACCACGCCCGGCTAAGTTTTTGGTATTTTTAGTACAAGTGGGGGTTTCACCATATTGGCCAGGCTGGTTTTGAACTCCTGACCTCAAGTGATCCGCCCTCATCGGCCTCCCAAAGTGCTGGGATTACAGGCGTGAGCCACCAAGCCCAGAGGGGAAAATGCTCTTGGTAGGGGAAATAACTTGTGCAAAGGCCCCGAGGTGGGATCCAGCTTGACCTGTGGATGACCAGCTTCTCTATCTGTCTTCCCACAGTGCAGCTGGGGTCTGGCGGCCACCTGCACCTGCGCAGCCCCCCGGGCCGCCCTGCCCGAGGGGCTCCCCGAGGCCTCCAGTCTTTACCGGGCTCTGTTCCGGCTGTCCCCGACGGCTTCAAGGTCGTGGGACATGACGCGCCCGCTGCGGCGTCAGCTCAGCCTTGCAAGACCCCAGGCGCCCGCGCTGCACCTGCGACTGTTGCCGCCGCCATCGCCGACCACCTGCGGGCAGAGTCTAGGTCCGTACGGCTCCTGTTGGAGCCTCACTTGCGGGCGCGAGCCGTCGGGGGCGCCGCAGAGCGCGTGCGCGCGACGGGGACCACTGTCCGCTCGGGCCTGGGCACTGCTGCCCGGTCCGGGCGTCGCTGGAAGACCTGGGCTGGGCCGATTGGGTGCTGTCGCCGCGGGAGGTCCAAGTGAGCATATGCATTGGCTCGTGCTCGAGCCAGTTCCGGGCGGCCAACATGCACGCGCAGATCAAGACGAGCCTGCACCGCCTGAAGCCCGCCGCGGTGCCAGCCCCTGCTGCGTGCCATCCAGCTACAGTCCCTCCATGGTGCTCCTGCAAAAGACCGACAGCGGGGTGTCGCTCCAGACCTACGACGACCTCTTAGCCAAAGACTGCCACTGCGCATGAGCAGCCCTGATCCTCCACTGTGCAGCTGCGCTGGGGCGCGACCTCGGAGGTGGAATGGGCTCAAGGGTCCTGGGACACCCTATTCCCGCCCAAACAGCTGTATTTATCTAAGTCTGTTATTTATTATTAATATATTGGGGTGATCTTGCTGGGGACTGGGGGGCTGGTCTGATAGAACTGTGCATTTATTTAAAACTCTGGTGATAAAAATAAAGCTGTCTGAACCATTCCCTGTGGTGTTCAGGATAAGGGAAGGTGACCTTGGGAAGATCCTCCTCTCCCGGGCCTCAGTTTCTCCAGGATACCTGGGATGGGGTGAGTGGAAAGGCTCAAGGCATGAGTGGGAAGGTGTTCTCGGGGATGCCAGAACACCTGTGAGCTCCAAGAGCAGCCTTGGGCATTCCCGACCCTCTGTCTCTATTTATCTCCCTGCTTCTGTTTCTTTTTTATTTCTATTTTTTTTTTTTTTTTAAGACTCTGTTGCCCAGGGCGGCGTGCACTGGCACAATCACGGCTCACTGCAGTCTCAACCTCCCGGGCTGGATCGATCCTCCCACCTCAGCCACCCGAGTAGCTAGGACTGCAGGCATCTGCCACCATGCCCGGGGAATTTTTGTACTTTTTGTAGACACTGGGTATCTCCATGTAGCCCAGGATGGTGTTTCTGTTTCTGAAAGAGCTGAGACCTCTCATCAGTTTCCCTCCATCTTTCCTCATTCCTCAGAACTTTCCTTTTTAGGGGCTGAAGCAGGGGTATCTGCCTCTGTCTCTGTCACCATCCTGTTGTCTCTTCCCACATGGGAGTCACCTTTCCATACAAGCAGCTCACAGCCACGTCTATCTGCCACCAAGTGCCTTGTTTTGCAGCACTGTCCCCAACCTGAGGGGTGAGTTCATCACCCCTCCTGTTTGTGACACTTCCATGTTAGTGACACCTCATTCTTTCATATATAAAGAGCAGGGAGAAACAAATAAGTTGTGAAGAATATTTTCATACACAACATGTCTCCCAGGTTATATATACTTCCTGTTTAGGATCTTGGAATTCTGAGGTGTGCTGAGTCCAGCCCCCTCCCCGCACCAAACTGCCTGTCCCCCCGAGTCTGAGAGGAATGGCGATGGATGTCTTGGGGGACAGAGTACCCACTTCCAGCAGTGAGGTGTATCAGCTGGGAATGCCACCAGCCAGAAGCCACCCTGAATGACTGCAGGTACCCCTTAACATATTCAGTGAGTACCCACCTTATGCCAGGCACTGGGCACAGCAGTGAGAAGACACACAAGAACCACCCCATGTTTTGAATCTCGGCTGAGAGAGTGGCCCAGGAGTTGGAGGCTGCAGTGAGCTATGAGAGTGCCACTGCAGTCCAGCCTGGGCACAGTGTGAGACCCCATGTCTTGGAAGAACTTTCAGAGAGAAAAAGTGGAGGCAAGCGGCATTCTAGGTGAAAGGGCTGGTGCAGGAAAAGGAAAGCTTCTGGAGGGAGGTGGTGTGGTCAGGAGGAGGCTCAGGGGAGCAGCACGGGAAAGGGCAGTGAGGTGGGCGGGGCTGGATCCCACAGGCCCCAAACACCAGTCTGAGGGTCCGGGACAATAGGGAGCCATGGAGGATGTGGAAACAGGGGAGGAGCAAGATCTGATTCATGAGTTGTAACATGGAAGTTAATGACGTCTGGGAGTCATTCACTCTGCCTGAGAATAAACCAGGGACAGCTTCTCAGAGGAGGTGGCATTGCACCAGGGCCTTGAAGAACTTTCTCAAAAAAAAAAAAAAAAGTATGTATATATATAATTATGTGTCTAGATATACTTTCTCAAAAAAAAAAAAAATATATATATATATAATGAAGCCGGGCGAGGTGGCTCACGCCTGTAATCCCAGCACTTTGGGAGGCCAAGGTGGGTGGATCACTTGAGGTAAGGAGTTCGAGACCATCCTGGCCAACATGGTGAAACTCCGTCTCTACGAAAAATACAAAAATTAGCTGTGTGTGGTGGCGGGCACCTGTAATCCCAGCTACTCAGGACACTAAGGCAGGAGAATCGCTTGAACCTGGGGTTCAGAGGTTGCAGTGAGTGAGATTGCGCCACTGCACTCCAGCTGGGGACAAGAGCAAAATTTTGTCTCAAAAAAAAAAAAAAAAGAAAAAAAAGAAAAAGACAGAAGAAAGAAAAGGAAGGGAAGGAGGGATGGAGGGAAGTATCCAGGTGTGGTGGTTCATGCTGAAGAAAGAAACGAAAAGCTGGAAAGAAAGAAAGGAAAGAAAGGGAGGAGAAGAAAGAGAAAGAAAGAACAAAAAGAAAGGAAGAAGAAAAGAAAGAAAGAAGCTGGGCACAGTCGCTCACACACCTGTAATCCCAGCATTTTGGGAGACTGAGGCAGGTGGATCACCTGAGGTCAGGAGTTCGAGACCAGCCTGGCCAAGATGGTGAAACCCCGTCTCTACTAAAAATACAAAAATTACCAGGTATAGTGGTGGGTGCTGTAATACCAGCTACTTGAGGAGGCCAAGGCAGGAAAATCACTTGAACCCGGGAGGCAGAGGTTGCAGTAAGAGACTGCGCCACTGCACTCCAGCCTGGGTGACACAGTGAGACTCTGTCTTAGGAAAAAAAAAAAAAGAGGGATGTGGTAGGGAGCAATTTGGGAGTCTTGGATGGAGACTTGCTCTTGGAGCTCACAAATCCTCACCTTGAGGAACTCACTCACCCTGAGCCAGTAGCCTCATAAGCCTCAAAGCATTTATTGAGCACTGCTGGCACAGCCACAGGAGGGTGATGACAGGGTTCACGCAGTGATCCTCCTGTCCCCTTGTTGGGGGTCTCTCCTCCTCCCCCCTCTAGGAGGCAAAGGGGCTGAGGAGTGGTGTGGGGGATGGTGAAGGGGTGGCAGAGCCCCCTGGGGCCTCAAAGACAGTCCTTTCCTGTCCCCATTCTTCAGATGGGGAAACTGAAGCCACAGAGGAGTTGGAATGCCCTGAGTAACCAGGCAAGGACTGGAGCGGGTCTGGGTGGAGGTTGGGACATCTTGGGCTCAGCGCCAGGGGATCACATACTCCTCGTCATCCACTGGGGCCCGGCCCAGTGACTGCTGCTTGCAGTAGACAGGCTGGGAGGCCAGGTCGACGTCCTCATAGTTCATGTAAAAGTCATTGTCCTCTGAAGGATGAGCCCTGTGTGGACAGATAGACCAAGGGTAGGTGGGGGAGGGGGAGGACTCAGGGGGCAGGCACACGAGCTTTGAGAAAGTTCAGAGTGGGCCAGGTTCCGTGGCTCATGCCTGTAATACAGCACTTTGGGAAGCTGAGGTGGGTGGATCACCCTGAGGTCAGGAGTTTGAGATCAGCCTGGTGTAACACCATCTTTTTTTTTTTTTTTTTTTTTTTTTTTTTTTTTTTAAAACAATGTCTTGCTTTGTCACCCAGGCTGGGGCACAGTGGTGTGATCTTGGCTCACTGCAACCTCTGCCTCCCAGGTTCAAGCAATTCTGCTGCCTCAGCCTCCTGAGTAGCTGGGATTATAGGCATGAGCCACCATGCCCAACTAAGTTTTGTATTTTTAGTAGAGATGGGGTTTCATCATCTTGGCCAGGCTGGTCTTGAACTTCTGACCTTGTGATCCACCCACCTCGGCCTCTCAAAGTGCTGAGATTATAGGTGTGAGCCACCAGCGCCCGTCCAAAACCCTGTCTTTACCAAAAATACAAAAATTAGCCAGGCATAGTGGCATGCATCTGTAGTCCCAGCTACTCAGGAGGCTGAGGCAGGAGAATCGCTTGAATCCAGGAGGTAGATGTTGCAGTGAGCTGAGAGTGTGCCACTGCACTCCAGCCTGGGCAACAGAGCAAGACTCAGTCTCAGAAGGAAAAAAAAAAAAGAAAGTTTCAGAGAGGCTGAGTCCACCCTGAATATTTACATAGGGGAAAGTGAGGCACAGGGTAATGTTCTGACTCCCAGCCAGCCCCACCCCTGAGGAAACTGGGGGAGGGGAGTGATTCAGGGAAGGTTCTGGGGATTAATGCTGCCGTCAGGGGACCCTGAACCCTTTTTCCTTCCTTAAAAATGAGATAGCGGCCAGGCACAGTGACTCATGCCTGTAATCCCAGCATTTTGGCCGGCTGAGGCAGGAGGACCACTTGAGGCCAGGAGTTTGAGACCAGCCTGGGTAACACGGTGAGACCCTCCGTCTCTACAAAAAATAAAAGCATTATCCAGGTGTGGTGGCTTGTGCCTGGAGTCCTAGCTACTTGGGAGGCTGAGGTGGGAGAATTGCTTGAGCCCAGGAGGTGGAGGTTGCAGTGAGCTGTGATCACACCACTGCACTCCAGCCTGGGTGACAGAGGGAGACCTCATCTCAAAAAACCAAAAATTGAGGTAGCTGTTCATTATTACATTAAAATCTAAATTTTTGTTTCCTCTTGAAAAATCAGAAACTCTGGCCACGTCGGTCACATGGTCCCAAGTGGCTGCAGCAAACTGTCTGCTCCTTCAGATGGGAAATGTTTTCACCACCGAAGCAACTGACTGTGTGGCCCTCGTATCTAAAAGCAAGTCTCGGAGCCTCAGTTTCTGCATCCATAAAATTGGACGAGGAACAGGGAGTCACTTAGGAATAGTTGTTAAGGTCAGCAGAACCCCCAGAGAAGGACTTTCCTGCCTCCTGAACATTCTTTTTTTCTTTCCTCTTTTTTTTTGAGATGGAGTCTCACTCTGTCCCCCGGCTGGAGTGCAATGGCATAATCTCGGCTCACTGCAACCTCCGGCTCTCAGATTTAAGCAATTCCCTGCCTCAGCCTCCCAAATAGCTGGGATTACAGGTGCACGCCACCATGCACGGCTAATTTTTGTATTTTTAGTAGAGGCGGGGTTTCACTGTGTGTGGGCCAGGCTGGTTTTGGACTTCTGACCTCTGGATCTGCCCTCCTCTGCCTCCCAAAGTGCTGGGATTACAGGTGTGAGCCACCGTGCCCGGCTGCCTCCTGAACGTTCTAACTCCACCCCAGCTCCTCTTGTAAAAAGGGCCACTGGGCCAGGCCCGATGGCTCACGCCCAAATACCAGCACTTTGGGAGGCCAAGGTGGGCAGATCACCTAGGTCAGGAGTTCAAGACCAGCCTGGCCAACATGGCAAAACTCCATCTGTACTAAAATTACAAAAATTAGCTGGCTGTGGTGGCAGGCTCCTGTAGTCCCAGCTACTCACGAGGCTGAGGCAGGAGAATTGCTTGAACCTAGGAGGTGGAGGTTGCAGTGACCCAAGATTGTGCCACTACACTCCAGCCTGGGTGACAGAGCAAGACTCAGTCTCAAAAAAAAAAAAAAAAAAGAAGCCAGAAGCCAGGTGCAGTGGTTCACTCCTATGATCCCAGCACTTTGGGAGGCCAAGGTGGGTGAATACCTGAGGTTGGGAGTTCAAGACTAGCCAGAGCAACATGGAGGAAACCATGTCTCTACTAAAAATGCAAAATTAGCTGGGTGTGTTGGTGCAAGTCTGTAATCCCAGCTACTTGGGAAGCTGAGGCAGGAGAATTGCTTGAACCTGGGAGGCGGAGGTTTTGGTGAGCCGAGATGGCACCACTGCACTCCAGCCTGGGTGACAGAGCAAGACTCCATCTCAAAAAAAAAAAGGGCAAAAGGGCCACTTTGGGTAAGCAGCATCTATCAGTCATTTACACTCTAGTAGGAATTTGAGACAAAGCAAGACTCTGTCTCAAAAAAAAAAAAAAAATGTCGGCCAGGCACGGTGGCTGGCACCTGAAATCCCAGCACTTTGGGAGGCTGAGGCTGGTGGATCACCTGAGGTCAGGAGTTTGAGACCAGCATGACCAATATGGTGAAACCTCATCTTGAAAAAAAATGTAGGGTGGAAATGACACATTCAATTCTAAACCCGGTGCTTCTGAAGGCCAGGTAAATAAAGGATGCTGATCTGGTAACCTCAGGGACAGGGAGGCCACAGTGAGCATCAGAGCAGAAGCTGCCTTCGTGTGCTGTGTCTTCAACACCCTGCTGCAGACCACTTCTGCTTTTGAGCCGTGTCTACATCTGCTTTGCATATGCCTTCCTTTCCCACCAGTGGTCTCTCGATAGCCTCCCCATGTCCTGGCATGAACTCTACTGTCTAAACACAGCCCCGACCCGTGATCGTGGCCCCTTCCAGCTCGGTCCTCCCTGTTCCCCCCAGGCTTAGGCTTTCAAGTCATCCCTCTCAAAAACCATATATAGCAAATTCTCTATTCTTTTCCACCTCCGGGTCTCTGCCCCTGAGGGGGGTCCCACCCCTTGAAATTCCCTCCATTCCCTTTTCCAACCCAGAAAAGCTTTTTTTTTTTTTTTTTGAGACAGTCTCACTCTGTCGCCCAGGCTGGAGTGCAGTGATGTGATCTCAGCTCACTGCAATCTCCACCTCCTGGGTTCAAGCGATTCTTCCTGCCTCAGCCTCCCGAGTAGTTGAGATTACAGGCACCCACCACCATACCTGGCTACTTTTTGTATTTTTGGTAGAGACAGGCTAATATTTCATATTTTTGGTTTCACCATGTTGGTCAGGCTGGTCTTGAACTGCTGACCACAGGTAATCTGCATGCCTTGGCCTCCCAAAGTGCTAGGATTACATGCATGAGTCACCACACCCACCCCCAACCTAGAAAACTTCAACTCATTTGTCTAAGCCCAGCAAAATCATCTAGAGGCTGACTGTGGTGGATCACACCCATAATCCCAGAACTTTGGGAGGCGGAGACATGAGGATTGCTTGAAGCCAAAAGTTTGAGACCAGCCTGAAAAACATAGCACGACCCCTGTCTTTACAAAAAATACAAAAATTAGGCTTGGCGCGGTGGCTCACACCTGTAATCCTAACACTTTGAGAGGCTGAGGCGAGTGGATCACGAGGTCAGGAGATCAAAACCATCCTGGCTAACATGGTGAAACCCTGTCTCTACTAAAAATATTTCAAAAATTAGCTGGGCATGGTGGCACCCGCCTGTGGTCCCAGCTACTTGGGAGGTTGAGGCAGGAGGATCACTTGAGGTCAGGAGTTTGAGGCTGCAATGATCTGTGATCGCACCACTGCACTCCAGCCTGAGCGACGGAGTGAGACTATCTCAAAAAAAAAAGTCATCTAGAGGTGATGGGACTTTGTAGAGCATCGTTTTATCATCTCGTGTGTGTCGTGGGGACATGGAGGGCTGTCCCCATTCTATGGAGACAGAAATGGAGGTTCAGACACAGCCCTGGGTCACACAGGATCTGGGCTTATGCTGCTGATGGCCACCACAGAGCCCCAACTCTGCCCAAGCAGTCGCCTCCTCTCTCCCCACCCTTGGCGGCCAGAAACTGGGTTTACAGGTCATGAAGGGGAAGTTTGTGCCATATATGGGAACTCGCTTAATTCTTATCCGGCACATTAAGATACAGGCTGTAATTCTCCCCCATTTTATCTTATATTATTTTTGAGATGGAGTCTTACTCTGTCACCCAGGCTGGAGTGCAATGGCGTGAACTTGGCTCACTGCAACCTCTGACTCCCAGGTTTGAGTGACTCTCCTGCCTCAGCCTCCCCAGTAGCTGGGACCACAGGCACCTGCCAACACACTTATACAAAATAATTTTTGTATTTTTAGTAGAGATGGGGTTTCACTGTGTTGGCCAGGCTGGTCTCGAACTCCGGACCTCAAGTGATCTGCCTGCCTTGGCCTCCCAAAGTGCTGGGATTACGAACACGAGCCAGTCTTCTCCCATTTTATAGGTGAGGAGACCGAGGCTCATAGAAGTAAAGCTACTTGGCTAAGATCCCACAGCCTGCAAGTGGCAGAGCTGGGATTTTGTTTTGTTTTGTTTTGAGACAGAGTCTCGCCTGGTTGCCCAGGCTGGAGTGCGATCAAACAATCTCGGCTCACTGCAAACTCCACCTCCATAGTTCAAGCGATTCTCCTGCCTCAGCATCCCGAGTAGATGGGACTACAGGCGTGTGCCACCACGCCTGGCTAATTTTTTTTTCATATTTTTAGAAGAGACGGGGTTTCACTATGTTGGCCAGGCTTGTCTCGAACTCCTGACCTCGTGATCTGCTCACCTTGACCTCCCAAAATGCTGAGATTACAGGCATGAGCCACTGCACCCGGTAGAGCTGGGATTTGAACCCCGGTCATCTGGGTGTGGAGCTTTGCTATTTGCCACTTTGGCAGGTGTCTTCATGGGTTCCTTACCCCTTTCTGGCCCACTGGTGCTCGACTCCTGGCTGGCCCACAAACATGTTTTCATAGCTGAGGTGGAGGGGTGGCTGGGGTGACCACTTGGGGCTTGCGGGAGTTGCTGCTGCTGTACCGTGGCTGCAAGCCTGAACGGGGCTTGGGCCCATCCTGAGCAGCCCAGGGCTTGTCCAGGTCCGAACTTCTGGCCAGGTGGCGTTGCCAGAGTCTCCAGGCCAGCAAGGGGCCAGCGATGTCAAGTCTGAGAGCGCAGGCACCTGCTGGCCGCCGCCGCCGTGATGATCGCAGGGGCCAGGCTGGGGGCGCAGCTGACCTCCGGAAAGGCGGAGAGGTTGCGCTGGGAGCTGGTGGACTGGACAGCGCCCGGTCCACACGGGACAGGGGGTTTTGTAGCACATACAGGAGCTGAAGCTTCCGCAGGGAGGCGGAAAAGGTCCCTGGGAGCTCCCGCAGCCCGTTGCCAGACAGGTCCAGGAGAAGCACTTCGCGGTCCGCAGACTGGTTCTGGGCAGGCTCAGGCCAAGGCCGCCGAAGTTCAGGCATGTGTCCCTGAACTCCATGTTCCAGTCCACATCCGCGGAGGAGACGGCGCAGGACAGTTCCCGGCGTCTGACCCCGGCAGCAGCAGCGTCCAGGCCAGGGCACCCCCCATTCAAGCAACCTACACAGAGACACCGGAATCTAAGCCCCGACCTCAGCCCTGCGGCCGCCCTCGCCTTCTCCGCTAGAGTTTACTATTAAAGCTCAGACCAGGGCAAGCAGCTTCTGAAATGGTAAAACGCAGCCCTGATCTGGTCGCCTCCGCGGTCCTACCTTTTGGGTCCCACTGGCACGCTTTTGCCTCGGCAATGCTGGAAAAGCCACAGCATCGCCCTCTCGAGATGGTCCCACTTCCCTCTTGAGAGAGCCCAGTGACTTCATGTCCCCTATTACCACCGCAACTGACTGCCAACCCAACTTGCTTCCAGATCTCAGCTTGGTTGACTCCCAGCTCATGCAGTCATTTATTCATTCAACAAACATCACCCACGCAGGGCCCCCAAGAAGCCTTATCCCTGGCCAGGTCCTCAAGGAGCTGTCTTAAGAGAGACAGAGCTGGACACAGACACTCCTAGTCCCATGCCATCAGGGAAGGTCTGGAGGGAAGGACAGTGTCCTGGAAGCTTCCTGGAGAAGGAGGCATTACAGTTGGGGTTCAACTGCATGTCATTTATAATTAGATTTGTATCATATCCTTCCCTAATTGGCCAATGAAGAAAAGAATTATTATCCTCTGATTAAATGTTAGCTGTCTACACTCTAATTGCACTAATTATCTTTCCGAAGTGAAAATTTGTTTCCATCTGGGAGACCTGATTTGTGGGTCATTTATAACTTACATGATGAAAGTGAAGTTTTACTTACACAACTGGATTTTTATTAAACATGTATCTCTTTCTTTGGTGACTCCTTATTCAAAACTCAATTTGATGGGTCCAAATATAGAGCTGCAGCAAGATGCCTGGTGCAAATTTGTGATATAAAATCTCTTTGATTTTGCATGAGAGAAATTTCAGCCAAACGTCTCAGATTTCATTCACTAAAAGGTAATAATTATAGTTTTTCCAGCCTATAAATAACTAGCCAAGCTGTTCATTTGGAGCAATTAGTTGGTTTCATCTTCGGGAACGTAGAGACAATACTATTTCAGAGGAGAGCCGAACACTTCTAGAATGATATCAACGTCAAAATAATAGCAGATGAAAACATTATTGCATCATTCAAAGAATTTACTAATCATGCGTCAATAGGTCACCTGTAAATTAGCTCATCTACAGTGATATTTGAGATCAGATTGTTATCTCTACAAACATGTCCAGTGCTGCAGATAGCATCTCTATAATCCTAATAACTGGAGAATTCATAATAGGAGTATTGGGGAATGGATTCATTGGACTAGTCAACTGGGTTGATTGGATTAAGAAGAAAAAGATCTCCACAATTGACTGCATCATCACCAATTTAGTTCTCTCCAGAATTTGTTTGATCAGCGTAATGGTTCTAAATGTCATTTTAATAGTACTTTACCCAGATGTTTACACAAAGAGGAAGCTACAGATAGTCATTTGTACCTTCTGGACATTTGCCAACTACTTAAATATGTGGTTTACCACCTGCCTCAATGTCTTTTACTGTCTCAAGATAGCTAATTTCTCTCACCCACTTTTTCTCTGGCTGAAGTGGAAAACTGACACGGTGGCTCGCTGGATCCTGCTGGGATGCTTTGCCATTTCCTCGTTGGTCAGTCTTATAGTACCAATCGTGCTGAGTTGTGATTATAAGTTTCATGCAACTGCAAAGCATAAAAGAAATATTACTGAAATGTTCCATGTGAGTAAAATGCCATCCTTCAAACCCTTGACTCTCTTTAACCTGTTTGCAATTGTCCCATTTATTGTGTCACTGATATCTTTTATCCTTTTAGTAAGATCTTTATGGAGACACACCAAGCAAATAAAAATCCATGCTACCAGCTGTAGAGACCCCAGCACAGAGGCTCATGTGAGAGCCATTAAAACTATGACTTCATTTATCTTCTTTTTTTTCCTGTACTATATTATTTCTCTTTGGGTGACCTTTAGCTATCTTATTACAAAATATAAATTAGCTATGGTGTTTGGAGAGATCATAGCAATTCTCTATCCCTTGGGTCACTCACTTATTTTAATTATTTTCAATAAGAAACTGAGGCAGGCATCTGTCAAAATGCTGACTTGTAGAAAAATTGCCTGTGTGATATGAAATCTTAGTTTTATAAATGGAATTTAAAATCAAATCTTCTTCTCTAATAAAAATATAATTTTCTTAAAAGTCCATTCTCATTTTCCCCATTATCTCATTTATTTTGGATGCATATCTTTTTAAGTGTCATTAGGACCTAGTGGCAAACTAATCTGTTATGTCTCTTTACAACCAGAAATGCTCATCTTTCTATGAAGAATTTCAGAGCTCATGCTTCTCTTCTTGTCTCCTCAATGCAAATGTTAGGCATATATTGCCTAAAGTCTTTTCAGACTTTACTTTGGCTCATGGTAAAGTGAACCTGAGCTACACTAACTGGTTTCCTGGTTTCTCATTTTCCTTTGTCATACTTTTTTTTTTTTGAGACAAAGTATCGCTCTGTCTCCCAGGCTGGAGTGCAGTGGTGTGGTCTCGGCTCACTGCAACCTCTGCCTCCCCGGTTCAAGAGATTCTCCTGCCTCAGCCTCCTGAGTAGCTGGGAGTACAGGTGCATGCCATCACGCCCAGCTAACTTTTGTATTTTTGGTAGAGACGGGGTTTCAGCATGTTGGTCAGGCTGGTCTTGACCTCCTGACCTTGTGATCCTCCTGCCTCGGTCTCCCAAAGTACTGGGATTACAGGCATGAGCCACCTTGCCCAGCCTCTGCCATACATTTTTATTGCTGGTCCTTAGTTGTGCTTCTTTCCTGGCTCTGCTGAGTCAATCCCATTTGGATTATTGACTAAGAACTCAGATCTTCCTGGTCTGTCTTTGGTTTTCCTGATCCATGGTCTCCTAGGTAATATTTCCTGGTCGGACTTATTCTGATGCTTTCTATTTATTTTCCTTGAAATTAAATTTCCTCTCAAACAACTTGCTTTTCATGCCACACCTGGGTGGGAATCGAAACCATTCAAGTTCCACTCACTTAAGGGGTGTTCCTAAGCCCTCTTCACAATCTTGACAAAAGAATGGAGATAACAAATATCCATCATACTGCTCACTCAGGTTCTTTCCTCTAACCAGAGCCTGCAAAGGTTTTCACTCAGGACTTAACAAAAGAAATAAATTGGGAAGACATTAACATATACCATTTAAGAAGCACATACTGTCAGTGGAAGAAGCAATAAATGTTTACAAAAAATACAGAGTAATTTTTTATTCAAAAAGAAGAAAGCGTGTCACCAAAAAGGTTTAATTTTGCTGTGAAGATGACATTGAGTCTCACTATAATATTGAAACGTTTGCTCTGTGGCGTCTCAGGTTGTGTATGTTCTAATATGGCTGCACACTTTTGCTTTTACTCCCATTATTTTCTATATTTAATTCTGATGTATTTCAATCGACTAATTTCCTTTTATTATAACTAAAATACTAATTACCTGAACATTATCAGTTGTTTGTCTTATTATTATGTAAAATTCACTTTGTAAAGTACTAATACTTACAACTCTAAGCATGTAAACTTTGTGAACTATATTTCTAATATGTTAGCTGTTTATGTACTCTTTGTTGTACAAGACAGAAGAATTCATGTTCTTTTGATGAAATATATTAATATATTCTAAAAAAATACCTGTAGATTTTACACTAGGATGAACTTTATATTTTTCTAAATGTTTAGATGAAATAAATATTTTATTGAATTAGCACTTTTGGGAAGGTTTTATCCTATTCTTCTTAAGATTTTTCTTCCATATTTTGTTTCCTGCATCTCCAACATTTCAAGCATCTTCAGTGACCGCAGTGTCTAGAGCTCTAAGTAGTAGACTTTTGACAGAACACTCTCCTGTGGAACTTTTTTTCTTAACTCTATATTCACATAACTTCATGCTATACAACACTGGTATGCATAAAATCTACATTTACTTTCAAAACCAAACAAAAAAAGGTCTAAAGATTATTTGGGCAAAGATGTCATCAGAGTTCCTGTGAGTACTTCATTTACCAGGATACACTGTGGGGAAAACGATGAGTCTAGGTCGGTTATCGTTTCCAAGATTGTTCTATCACAGGTGATGTACCAGTTTCCTGTAAACATAGCTACTGGCCGGGCGCGGTGGCTCACGCCTGTAATCCCAGCACTTTGGGAGGCCGAGGCGGGTGGATCACGAGGTCAAGATATCGAGACCATCCTGGTCAACATGGTGAAACCCCGTCTCTACTAAAATTACAAAAAATTAGCTGGGCACGGTGGTACGTGCCTGTAATCCCAGCTACTCAGGAGGCTGAGGCAGGAGAATTGCCTGAACCCAGGACGGAGGTTGCGGTGAGCCGAGATTGTGCCATTGCACTCCAGCCTGGGTAGCAAGAGCGAAACTCCGTCTCAAAAAAAAAAAAAAAAAACCATAGCTACTTAATCATGCTGTTTGTCCAAAAATGAAGGCTACATCTCCAGAATGAAGGTTTGCCTTTTAAGGAAGGATAAGAGGAGACACACATTCCCAGGAAGGTGCCAGTACCCAAGAACTCTTCTGGAAACACCATGTAGTAAAGTGCTTCTCAGTAACTAGGGAGATATTTCAAAGTAAGAATTCATCTGTAGAGAAGTGGAAAGTTTAATCTTCAGTATCCTGCTAGAAGAGCTAAGGATCTTGATACTCATGCAATTTGTAAATAGGAGAACGGAGAGAATGAAATACAGAATTTTACTATCTTCTCTCTCATGCATACAACTACCCTTGAGAACATTTTTACAAGTTTTAAAAAATCTTCATGAAAGTATAATTGATATAAAAATGACTTCATATATTTAATGCATACAATTTGGAGAGACTGGACATACTCAAACACCCATGATATCACCACAAAGTTACAGATGTATCTAATACATCCCAAAGTTTCCTTGAGAACATTTTAAGTGAAAATGAAAAATTTAAAGATAATTGTCTTGTTTTATTATAGGTCCTTTACCTTATTATATAACATCACTAAGTAACCATTAAATGTCACTTTGTCAATAAGACAATGTGTTGCATTAAGAGACACTATGCCATAAAATTGTTCATTGCACAGTCAAAATAATAAGCTAAAGTTTCCTTGGAAAGAAATAATCTACATTTAGTGTTAACTTTTTAAATTTCCTGAAAATATATAATTCTCACTCTGAAGCCAAATTTTGGATTCGTTATTAATTATCAATAGTAACATACAACAAAACAAATATTCTTCCAGGAATTTCAATTTTTGCCAACTTTATACTTGCTACCAAATTCTTGATGTTTAGGTTCGCCAGACAAAATATGGAACACTCAACCAAAGTTGAACTTCAGTACTTCCTGAAAGCACTGATCTTATGTAATTTGGCACATACGCTAAAAAATTATTCATTTGTTTACCTGTAATTCAAGTTTAACTGGGTGCCCTGACTTTTTAGTTGCTAAATCTAGCAATTCTATTGAGGTTACTAGTATACATCACAAATTAATGAATTCAGAATGCATACGCCTTAGCCTCAGAAAGACCTTGCAGGACTACGAAAGGGAACTGGCCCAGTTTGCATCTTAGTAAACAGTAGCTCAGCCTAAATTCACCATATGTGGAAAAATACAACCTGCTGAGTAGGTAAATGGGCATACAGTGGCCAGGCCAAGGATTGCCAACCACATTGTTTTTCAAGACTAATTAGGATTTAATGAAGATAGCTCTAGTCTTCATTTATTATCCCAGTCTCCATTACAAGACAGACTACAAAGAAGAGATAAAGAAAGTTATGTCAAAATCTAAGAAGCAGGTGTAGATGTCAAACTCTATCAGGTCAACTAGAAACTAATTGCCTATTTCTCTATTTAAACATGACAAATAAATTGCAGACTGCCTTACTGATCTTAGCAATTGGAGAGTTTTCAGTTGGGATCTTAGGGAATGCATTCACTGGATTGGTAAACTGCGTGGACTGGGTTAAGAAGAGGAAGATTGCCTCCGTTGATTTAATCCTCACAAGTCTGGCCATATCCAGAATTTGTCTATTGTGCATAATACTATTAGATTGTTCTACACTGGTGCTGTATCCAGATGTCTATGCCACCGGTAAACAAATGAGAATCATCGACTTCTTCTGGACCCTAACTAACCATTTAAATATCTGGTTTGCAACCTGCCTCAGCATTTACTATTTCTTCAAGATAGCTAATTTCTTTCACCCAGTTTTCCTCTGGATGAAGTGGAGAATTGACAGGGAGATTTTCTGGATCCTGCTGGGGTGCTTGGTTCTCTCTGTGTTTATTCGCCTTCCAGCCACTGAGAATGTGAATACTGATTTCAGGCGTTGTGTGAAGGCAAAACGGAAAACAAACTTAACTTGGAGCTGCAGAGTAAATCAAAATCAACATGCTTCTACCAAGTTATTTCTCAACCTGGTAACGCTGCTCCCCTTTTCCGTGTTCCTGATGTCTTTTTTCCTCTTGATCCTCTCCCTGCATAGACATATAAGGCGAATGCAGCTCAGTGCCACAGGGTGCAGAGACCCCAGCACAGAAGCCCATGTGAGAGCCCTGAAAGCTGTCATTTCCTTCCTTCTCCTCTTTATTGCCTACTGTTTGTGCTTTCTCATCGCCACCTCCAGCTACTTTATGTCAGAGACAGAATTAGCTGTGATTTTTGGTGAGTCTATAGCTCTAATCTACCCATTCATTTATCCTAATACTGGGAAACAATAAATTAAGACATGCATCTCTAAGGGTGCTTTGGAAAGTAATGTATATTCTAAAAGTAAGACAATTCTAACAACATAAATAGATCTGAAGAGAAACTATGCTTTTCTAGGACAAACAAAAATGAGATGTTTCTAAGGTGCCTTCAGTTCTTGCATTCATGTTTGATGTGATTAATTACTCCTATAACTTATTTAGGATATCTGTGGTTGTAATTTAGGGAATCTCATGCACAGCTGGCTGGATCTCTCATCTCTGTCTCTGTCTCTGACTTTGTCTGTGTCTTCCTGCTTCTCTCTTCTCTCACTCTTCCTTTCTTTACAGTTGGTGTGTTGTTGCTTTTTTTAAACATGTTTCAGAACAAACAGAAATTAATATCCTACTATCAACTATTGAGAGTTGAGGGCATTTTCATAGTTCTAAGTCCTATTTCCAGATGCAAAGATGTGTGACTAATTCAAAACAAGTGTAATAGCATCTTGCTGTTATTTGCATCCTTATGAAAAGCAGCTAGTTCATTCTCATAGTCCTAGTTAGATTGTTATTCTCAGATCATCCAACTAAGTTCTACCTTTGGCAAAGACTCAATAAAGTCACAGTTCTTAATAAATGCTGTGGAATTCTATGAATTATCTTATTATAATCACAGTTAAGGTATATAGCATGGCTAAATATATTGTCACAGGGAGTTCAAAGATTATTTGAGGATAACAATAAATGAATGAAGGCCAATCTATAAGTAAAAGAGGGAAAATTTATGTAGAAAATGGCTAAAAATAAGAAGCCTAAATTGAACTATTAATTATTTATCAAAGAAAATTTCTCAACAAAAGACGTGTGTCCATGGACTGCACCAGGCAATGACTGTCAAGATGCTGTGATAAGACCTTCAATCAAAAGCTTATATATGGATATGCTAAAATGTCAAAACTCTCAAAGGATATATTGCCTCACTGTAGATATCTCCATACTCCAGAGAAATATTGTTGGACTGTATATAAGACATCCTTAAGGGTTCAATGATTCTGTAAGAATATAGAATATATTATCAACCAACCTGATCTGATATTTATTAAAGACTCCATAAAAGAAAGAGACCGGTCTGTCTGCGCGGCCCTAGTCTTCTAGTCAACTTGGAGCGATGGGAGGCCTTGAGAAGAAGAAGTATGAACGAGGCTCAGCCACCAACTACATCACCCTGAACAAAGCCCGGAAGAAGCTCCAGCTGAGCCTGGCTGACTTTAGGCGGCTGTGCATTCTGAAGGGCATTTATCCCCATGAACCCAAACACAAGAAGAAGGTTAACAAGGGTTTTACAGCGGCCTGAACTTTTTACCTTATCAAAGACATCAGGTTTCTCCTCCATGAACCCATCGTCAACAAGTTCCGGGAATACAAGGTGTTCGTCCAGAAGCTCTGGAAGGCCTATGGGAAGAGCGAGTGGAACACCGTAGAGTGTCTAAAGGACAATAAGCCCAACTACAAACTTGACCTCATCATCAAGGAATGGTACCCCACGTTCATTGATGCCCTGCGCGACCTGGACGACACCCTCTCCATGTGCTTCCTCTTTTCCACCTTCCCACGGACTGGCAAGTGTCACGTGCAGACCATTCAGCTGTGCCGCCGGCTCACCATGGAGTTCATGCATACATCATTGCCTCCTGTACCCTGCGCAAGGTCTTCCTGTCCATCAAAGGCATTTACTACCAGGCCAAGGTGCTGGGGCAGCCCATCGTGTGGATCACTCCCTATGCCTTCTCCCATGACCACCCAACAGATGTAGACTACAGGGTCATGGCCACCTTCACTGAGTTCTACACCACCCTGCTGGGCTTCGTCAACTTCTGCCTCTACCAGTTGCTCAACCTCCACTACCCCCCAAAGCTCGAGGGACAGGCCCTGGCAGAGGTGAAGGCCAGTGAGGACACCTACGCGCTGGACTCTGAGAGCTCTATGGAGAAACTGGTGGCCCTCAGTGCCAGCCTGGCTCGCGTGGTGGTACCTGCCATGGAAGAGGAGGCCGAGGTGGATGAGTTTCCTGCCGATGGGGAGATGTTGGCACAAGAAGAAGACTGCAGGAAGGAGCTGGAGGCGCAGGAGAAGCACAAGAAGCTTTTTGAGGGCCTGACGTTCTTCCTGAACCGAGAGGTGCCCCGCGAGGCCCTGGCCTTCATCATCAGGAGTTTTGGGGGGAAAGGGTCCTGGGACAAGTCTTTGTGCATTGGGGCCACCTACGACGTCACGGACTCCCGCATCACCCACCAGATTGTCGACCGGCCTGGGCAGCAGACCCCTGTCATAGGCAGGTGCTACATGCAGCCCCAGTGGGTGTTTGACTCAGTGAACGCTAGGCTCCTCCTCCCCGTGGCAGAGTACTTCCCTGGGGTGCAGCTCCCCCCACACCTTTCACCCTTTGTGACTGAGAAGGAAGGAGATTATGTCCCACCTGACTGGCTCTGCAGCGGGGAGAAGACCCAGGAAACCTGAATGAGTCAGAACAAGAGGAGGAAGAGGAGGATGACAATGAAGGTGATGGTGATGAAGTGGGAGAAAATGAGGAAGAAGAGGAAGATGCAGAGGCTGGTTCAGAAAAGGAGGAGGAGGCCTGGCTGGCAGCCCTGGAGGAACAGAGGATGGAGGGGAAGAAGCCCAGGGTGATGGCAGTCACCTTGAAACTGGAGGATAAGCAGCGGCTGGCCCAGGAGGAAAAGAGCGAGGCCAAGTGCTTGGCCATCATGATGATGAAGAAGCGGGAGAAGTACCTATACCAGAAGATCATGTTTGGCAAGAGGCGAAAAATCCGAGAGGCCAACAAGCTGGCAGAGAAACGGAAAGCCCATGATCAGGTGGTAAAGTCTGAGAAGAAGGCCAAGAAGGCAAGGCCGGAGTGAGTGCTGGAGGCCCCTCACAGCTGAGGCCAGCTCCTGGCAGCTGAGCCTGACAGAGGCAGGCAAGAGGACCTCAGTGTGATGGACCAGAGTCACTTCTCTTCTCCTTTCTCCAGCCAGCCCTGATCCCTCATGCTCTCTGGCTGGGCCAGTGGGCAGCCCTGGCCCTCCCTTGGATGGAGCTGCCCTGCTGGCGCCTGAGCAATGAGGCCTCTGTGCCCAGCCTGATTCTGTGCTCCCAGGAGCCAGTGACATGAGGTGCAGGGGCCCACTCAGCCTCTTACCTGCTGCCCCTATTCACCCTGGCTTTCCACAGCCCCCTCCTGCACAGTTGGACCCGTGATTCTCAGGGTGCTGTGATGGGGTGAGGGTGGGGGGAGCATTTGTTATTAAATGACTGGACTTTTGTGCCAATTGTTAAAAAAAAAAAAAGAAAGAGAGACCATATTCTCTGTTCATGTATATATTGAATATTTTCCAGACAATACCATATATCAGGCTGCAAAAGGAAAATATATTTGAGACATACCATCAAAAGCACATCGTTTGTGTTGTGGCAAAGACATTTTGTGGTGATCAACACTGTACTAACCAGCCTAGAGTAGTCATGAACTTTGTGTCCAAAAAAGAAAGTATTTATAAATAAAGGGATAGTAAATATACTCATCAATAAATTTGGTAAAAATCAAATTAGTTTTAAACTAGTTTTATATGTTAATTTTCTTCTCTGACTCTGACAGTGCAAAAGATACACATTGATTTAATTGCTAAATTTACAAAGATGTTTTGGGTGCCTTGTAATTTAAAGAAACAAATGAAAATTAGATGCATAGGCTAAAGCTTACTTTTCTGAAAATTGTCTCAAAGAATACCTTTCCCCATACCCTAAATGAGCCAGGGCCCAGTTCATGTTAATTTATTAGACATGGAAGCAAAAGAAACTTAAAGGCTGATTGGAAGCTTAGAAGCTCCACATTTGATGCCTCTATATTGTGGACCCTAGAAATTTAATTGCCACTTACATTGCAAACATGGCACCTCAAAATTCAATTTCTCTGTGGTCAGCAGCCAGGCAGAGGATATTGAGGTAGAAACAGTAGCAGTGTTAGTAACCTCTTACTGTACATAGTTCTCTTTACTGGCCTACGTAGGATGAAGGTAATATAAACAAAGTGGGTAGATTTTTCTTCTAGGATTACATTAATTCTGAGAAATTATGCAAAGATGATAACTCAGGGTTGAAATGAATATTTGCACTGTTTCTTTCACTCACACTATTTAGGATAGAGCTTTCAGGCTTTCTCTAAGTGAGTGCAGTGAAGGGGCTACAGAAAACACAGACTCCTTTTTCTGTTTTTATTCCTTGCTTAATGAAAAGATACCCATTAGCACTTGAATGTCTGACTGTCAGGCTCTATCCTGGATGCGGGAAATACAGATGAAAAATGTGACAAAATCTATGCTCTTATGGAATGTACAGTCATAGAAAACATTATAGAAGGCAATGATCAAATAAGCAGTTATGAGTCATGATTAATGCAACTGAGAACAACTGCAGGTGAGGGATAACTGTATATAGCATCGTCAGGATAGATCAACCCAGGAAAATGAACTCTTAGCTGAGACTTGAATGACAAATATAATCTGGCCATAAAACAGCCTGGAGAAATAACGTCTCAAAAAGATGGCAGAACAAGTGCAAAGACCTTAAGGAGCAAATGTTTGAGAAAGTGTGATAAAGATCTGAATGACTAAAGTGTGGTGAGCAAGGAGTGAATGGCAGGAGATCATGATCAAGATTATGAAAGGCCTTGTAGGTCGGGAGAGGGAATTTGGATTTAAGTGCAATGGAAAGACATTGAAGAATTTAAAGTCATATGCAAAGTACTTTGACTTAAACATAGATATAAGTTCACTTTGGTTATGGGAAGAATACTGTATATTTTGGTGAGAGAGTATAATTAGGAAGACCAGCTGGTAAGTTATTACAGTAAGGAGTCCATGTGAGATATCATGGAGGTTCAGATCTGATGGTGGAAACGGAGTTAGGGGATTTTCTTAATGAATGAATTCTACATATTACATAGGTAGACCTGATGGATCTTGCTAAATGAT